CATCGGAGGAGGGAGCAGCCATTTGGTGGCAACAACGTAGTCAAGCGACAAGAATGGTTCGGCTTCCTTTTCGGTTAGCTGCTTGGTGAATGGCTCCCGCCCACTGGAAGATGCGCCTACCCCAGTGCACTTGTATTCTCCATAGTAAACAGTTCTACAAAAAAAATAATTATCATTATCATAATTAATCAATAAGATTAGTGTGTGACCATCAACTTACTTGGCTCTTTCTGGTTGCATGTCATGAGACCAGCCGGCAGGATTCACAACGTCGGTCATTTCAGTATAAGCATAAACAACTCTCGGACTGCTCTTCCATGCCCTCCCCAAAAATGAACCCTTTGCCGTTCCGGTGATTTTTCCGTGCACAATGGAGTACCCGGTGTCCTCCGATGAACTTTCTCTAGCTTGTGCCGTGATTACTGTAAGTTTCGGTTCTATTTCTACAAATATTTCCGTGTCCTGCATCCCACTTTTCCAATCAAATTCTGGCATATCTATATATATATATATATATCGTATTTCATGTGTTTTCTAAATGTATACCAGATATAAAGATTTCCCACTTCCAAAAATGAAATCAACGGTGCCTCGAATATAGCAATCCTTGAAGAAGTGGTTCCCCCTGTCATCGCACACTGTATCCTGAAAACCGAATATGTTGCAGCCATAAAATGCCGATCTGTCACCGGATACTCTCAAGGCAACTGCTTGTGCTCCTTCCCTTTTCCCATCAGGCTTCGGAGCACTGTTCTATGTATAATAACAAATTATTGAAAGTTAACAATGTATTCAATTCAAGGAAGAACATGTTGTTAAGAATTTATAAGTGGAGAAAATAAATAAAACGATATCAACATGTATAATACGTGTAAAAGATGAGATTTAACGATGTTCAATTTTTTTTTTATTTCTACTGGTAAAAAGAATAATAATCCATTATAAACGTATAGATCATCATGTTCATCATGAAAATATATTCTAGGGTATGTACATATGTATTAATAATAGAAATTTTTGTATGGACGTATACAAATAAAATTCAGATTAGACATCATCAATAAAATAAACAATTAATCTAAAGAAATTTAGATTTCAATGTCTACCCTAGATAACATATACATGCAACCACATGCTAAGGATACATATACATAATATCTCATGTGTGCTAAAGTTTGATATTTATTTATTTATTTAAAATATCTCAAAATATTCTCTTACTATCTCTATAAAGTTAAACATCAATTATAATTTGAGTTAAAATATAAGTATATGTGCTGGTTAAATTCTGGAGCTTACTATTATGTTGAGATAAGCACCCACAAAGTAATTAGACAAGGTGGTGAGAGTGCCGCTGTCTACAGTTCCATAGTCCTTGGCGGTGGCATCAAATGTCAAATTGGGCATGTTTTTGGGGTCCCCCACCAGTGTAACGTAAGGCTTGTCTCGAGGGATCGTGATTTTCTCTTGGTAAGATCCGGGTCCGATAGATATTATAACGCGTTTGCTGTTCCCGGCTGGAACGCTGTCAATGGCTTTCATTATGGTAGCGAAATCTCCACCGTCACCTTGCTTAACCTTTATGATTTTAGGTTCAGCCTCGGCCTGAACCAATTCTGGGTCTAAAGTGCCAGTCCTTTGACTGAGAGGCTTGATAACGCTACTGAACCAATCATTTACCTTGGATTTGTCCTCTGGTATCTGTGTACTCTGAGACTGAACGATCGGAGCAAAAAAGACAATCATGCAGATTGCTGCATAAACTCCACCGTTTTCGATTCCTTTTTTTCCTGTCATTTTTATTTTTTATTGTTGATATTGTGTTTATTTTTTCTGTTACTCTAATTTATAAGATAAATTTGTGAAGAAAAATCTGTAAACATGAGATTTAGAGTGATCCTCGCTCCGCCTATCATTTTTTATAGTTCTTGCATGCACCATTAAGTTTGTTGTGTAATTTAAATCAATACTTTAAGATGGTCCCACTAGTGACTTGACACACGGCATTAAAATTTCTGGAATGTTCAAAATATATTATTATATCATTTTGTAATTTATATTAGAATTAATATACTTTTATAAAATAGAATAAATAAAATTAATTTTAATTATACTTTAACTTAAATAATATTTTTATTAAAATTAAAATAATAATGTATAATCTTATGATTAAATATTATACTCTCCTTAAGAATTTTAGAATTTTAGGTTCAAATTACATCATATATATATATATATATATATATATATATATATAGTTTTCATTAAATTATATCATGTGTTATTATCTTATCCAAAGATACAAACTTACTAGGAAAAATACACATAAAATATCATATGGCGATAATAACCTTAATTAAAGCAATATTAAAATTTAATGACTCCAATATAATTTCTGTATTGCGGAGGATTGTTAGGATGTATAAGTGTGTGATTGTTTTGATTCAAGTAACTAAAAAAGAGATTTGACTGAATCGAATATAGCGAGGTTTTGGTGCGATGATGTTGTCGATTTTAGATTCTCGAAAGCTGTGGGCAATGTTGGGGGTCTGCTGACTGTGTGGGATAAGAGTCATTTTTTAAAGGACATATTCTTTCTTTTATTAGGGAGGTATGCTTCACAGTTTTCGAATTGCTCAGTGTTGAATGCTTATGCTCCTTGTCATGTAGGCTCACTATGGAATGAGAATATGGTTGAGAGGGGAAATTTAATTAATAATTGATTCATGGCTGGTGACTTTAATGCCATTCGAAACCATAGTGAGAGAATTGGCTGCTCTTTTAGTCAAACTGAGATTGCAGCTTTCAACACGTTCATTGCAGAGTGTGATCTTTTTGGTATGCCTTTAGCGGGGAGGAATTTTACATGGTTCAGACAGGAAAATAGTAGGAACCGCCTTGTTTTGTTGAGGATGAATGGCTTCAGCTGAGATAACAGTGATGTTATGAGAGGATTGTTAGTGTGGCTCTAAGGATATTAGATATGTCTTTCCCCGTTTGTACAGGATGCTTCAAAGGAAATTGGTTGTTGTAGAAATAATTGTTGGCAATGGAAGCTGGCAGGACGTTGTATGGGAGATTAGTTGCAAGATGCTTGCTGGAACAAGAAAAACACTGTCTGGGAGTGGTTAATAAATTGGTCATGTCAACAAGAGTTTGGTGGCGGGTGAATTGGTTGTAACTTAGGACAATAGATGAATTATTAGAATTCTGCTTTCAAGTCCGATTGCGAGGAGAAGAAAAATCGTTTTTGGTTTATTTGTGCTGCTTCGATACTTTGAAATTTGTTCATGTCTCAAGATCGAAAATTGCAATGGTTGATCTTCTTGCAAATGCGGGTCTTTGTAGACAAGAATTAATCAAAGCGTGGTGGAAAGTGGGGAGAACGGTTCTGAAGAATTTTTTTTTTGTTCGTTGTCTTATGTTGTGGCGATTCATGGTCTGGTTTGTGGCTGCTTTAGGTTTTTGTTGAGGTTGATTTGAATACTTGCAGTTAACCTTTGGTTCTGCTTTCATGTTTTAGTGGTTTAGGGTGGTTTTTTGGGGTTTTGTTTTTGCTCTGTTGGCATGGGTGAATAGGTTTTGATGGGTTTACAGGTGTTTTTAGTTGCAATCTGTTGTCTATGTTTGTGTTGCAAGGTATATTGATTGCAACAGGTTGTTGCAGGGTGCCTTCACGTTCAGCAGATTTTGATTGTGTTTGTTTTGAACGTTGTTCCAATGCTTGATTGTGTTGTACTCTTTTCCTCCATATAGGTTTAAGGAGGTTTTTAATGAGGCACACAGTTTAGGCGTGGACATGTTGACTTTATCAATAAAATATTTATGCCGAGCAAAAAAAAAACTGTGAACGTTTTGGAAGGTCTAATTTGTAGGAGGCGTGTTAACTGTTGAGTGTCGTGCTTGATTTGAGTTTCGTGTAATGCAGTTTTCTGGCATGAAACAAGGCTTTTGTAGAGCTATCTCAGTTGTTTACGATCAAGCAAGCTTGTGGGTTTTAATGTGATAATAAGCCCAACCACAATGTGAAACATGCAAGGTCATTAGCAAAGGATCTCATCAAGTTATTCTATGCTTCATGCAATTGTTAGGTGAGCTTTTAGAATGGGTATTGTCGTGCACTTCAGTGATTCCTTTTTGCAGGAGTGATTTTGTAAGCTTGGGGTTGTGTTTTGTTGGGTGATTTTGTTGTTTGGTGTTGACTCTTTTTATATTGTCGGGGAGAATGTACTTTTTTTCATCCTTTTAAGATTAAAGAGGTTTTTAACGAGATACTCTCATTGTCTATTGTCTTTATAGTTATATTAATAAAAATTATAATTGCCGAGCAAAAAAAATTGTCTTAGTTTTAATTTAATTCAAAAAGAAAGTCATACAATTGGTTATTTTGACACATTTAAATAATGACATGTGTAACCATCTAATTGAAGAGTTTTTAATTAATTTTATTATTTAATTTAAATAATTTTCTCATCAATTAGGTGGTGACATATATCACCGCCAATTTAAAGAGAAAAATGAGAGGAAACATTTATTGTTAAGAGGAATTGAACCAAATGCATCAAGCTTTCAGGGTCACACCTCACCACTTAATTGGTGGAAAAATTAATTGAATTAAATATTAAATTTAATTAAAAAACTCTCTAATAAGGTGTGACACATGTCACTATTAAAATGTGTTAAAATAACTTATTGACATGTGACACCTCCTGATTAAATGATTTATTTTTTTAATTAAATTAAAACTATGACTATACATTAATAGAATGTGTAACTATTGAGGATTAAATATGTAACTATACCAATCTTATTAACTACTATGTCAATGTCAGCACTTCCATCAAATATTAACAGCTATATTAAAACCAATTAAATAGTTAAGTGATTATATTGGTGAAATTTTTAAAATAATGACTATATTGACACAACCCTATAGATAGATGGTCATCCATGTAATTTACCTTAATATAAAGTCATTTCCTTCTCAAGATTTAATACGAAGTAAACAAGTTAAACGAGAGCGAGTCTCTTCAACTATTCTTTACATTTACATTTAAGCTGATGAATCCTGCTGCTGGTTTTCGGGATCTATCGTACGAATTTCTAAAGTACGCCCAAGGCAATCCACATGCTCTTAAAGTTTTGGGTTCTCAACTCCATAAAAAGTCTAGAAAAGATTGGGAGAGTGAGTTGGATATGCAAAAGGAATATCCCCAACCAGAAATCTCCAAGCTTTTGAAGACGAGCTTTCTTGGGCTTGATGACTTAGAGAAGAATATCTTCCTTGATACTGCAATATTCTTTAATGGGGAACCCAAGGAAGATGTAGAAGCAATTCTAAGTAGCTGTTATAAGGGTGCAAAGCGTGGAATAGGCAATTTGATCGACAAGTGCCTTGTTGAAATCATACCTTCACAACGTATTTCTATGCGTGACATGCTTGAAGAGATGGGCAAGGATATCATTCATAAAGAACCAAAAATTCCCGGAATGCGTAAGACATTATGGAGTTCTAAAGATGTGGTTCAAGTGCTCAAATATAATAAAGTAAGCTCTAATTAAATAATATAAATTCAACCACTTATGTGTTGTGCGTGACCTTAACAAAAGTTTTTTTGTCTGTTATTAGGGGACCGAATCAATTGAAGGAATAAAGTTAGACATGTCTCAAATTGAAATTGATAACATACATCCTACCTTCTTTGAGAACATGCTTAACCTTAGATATATCCAATTCTATCATCCTCGGTACTATTTTACCAAGTCTTGGAATAAGAAGCTACTTCCAACCGACTTGATATTGTGTATCTACCTGATGAGATAAAGTATTTTTGGTGGGATTATTATCCTTTCAAATCTTTATCTTCAAGTTCTAATTTGAAGAATCTTGTTGTGCTGAAATTACGAAATGCCAACATTGAACGACTTTGGAACGAAGATGATAATCAGGTATATTCTTCCATACTTTCTTCAACCAAAACATTTTTGATAAGGCCCTAAGTAAACAGATGATACTTAGAAGTAATATACATATTTTATGTTTTCATTGCACAGGGACTTGTCAATTTAAGGACAATTGATCTTTCTCATTGCATGAAGTTAAGGAAGATCTCATTGCACAGGGACTTGTCAATTTGAAGATAGCCCTAAGTGGGCGTAGTGGGAGCAGATTCTTGGTTTTTGCTATATGTCTTGTGGTCGATCTCACTGACAGCGGTCGCATTGAAGATCATGAATTTATCTGTGAATATCAACTGGTAGCCGCCAGTGGTAGTGATGATGACGGTGGTTTTGAAAAGTACAAAAGTGAGTTATTTTGCGAGGCAAAGCATTGGACAAATGGTATTTGCATGGGTGATCATGTGTACATTCTGTGTGGTAAGGATATGGTTAGAGAAGACTAGAATTATGAGGAAATGTGGAGTTGATGTAATTTACGTGGATGCAGAGAGTTGCACCATTACTGATGTCATGAGATGTGATAAATCCAACCACAATTTTAATTCAAGAGGATGCTAATACTGAGGAACCCCATCACCATTCTGCTACAGAAACAAGCACAAGGAGATCAAAGCGGCACAGGATCACAGGTGATTGGAGCTTAGCAGTACATTTGCTTCTCTATGACATCTGATAACTGCACAAATAAATTATTAGTTAATCTCTTGTTATATCAGATGCAGAAACAAGAACAAGGAGATCAAAGCGGCACAGGGTCACAGGTGATTGGAACTTAGAAATACATTTGCTTCTCTATCACATCTGACAACTGCACAAATAAATTAGTATTAGTTAATCTCTTGTTATATCGTATGCACGGAATTGAGCATGTTGTTGCTGGCACTAGCATCCATGTCGTTGGTCATGAGTAGGATTGACAAAAGTGGGAAAGTGTTGTACATGCAGGTATATGACATAATGAAAACAGAAGTAAAAATATTGTACTGGTATCGATATAGGCCCTGTACACAAATAAGACACAATGAAGGGAAAAAGGAGTATGCTACCACTGTTAATTATAAAATTTACAGCCTCAAAGTTAATTGCTTATAATAGAAAATGAAGTGATTTAATTAAAACCAAGCAGTATGAATCTGAATTGCTCTGCACTGTAAATTGCTTGTCATTTACAAAGCGATATTCCATTTTCAGAAACTGCAACCTTTTGATATTTGTACATAAAATGGGAAATTTGTTCAATAATTTCTTCACATGACTTCAAAATTTGGGGCTCATACTTAAAATGTGTGAACTTAGATAAAAATATTTGTTCCATTTTCAGAAACTGCAACCTTTTGTGATATTTGTACACCAAATTTATGGTGTTTAACGAACAAAAGAATTCTTATTTATATCCATCCTAATTTCAATTTTCTTAAATTTTAATATTTTATAATTTTATTTTATTATAATATATTTTATGAGACATATGTGCTTGTGGAGCCATGAAATTAATCCATTTGAAAAATCTTTAACCAGCTTTTCACTCTTTAGCTAGACTTAAACATTGGCGACGACTTGAGCTTAGCCATTATCAACGAGTCAAGATAGTGTTACATGAGGACATAAGAGAATCAATTTTATTTAGGGTAAACTATGCGGATAGTCCCTATGTTATTGGTTTGAATGACTTTGGTCATCAATTTGAAAATTAAAGGGGGAATGGTCCTTACCTTTATTGATTTGCTCGATTTAAGTCTCTGACATTATCAATCCGTTCGATTTTAGTCTCTCAGTCGTTAACTACAGTTTGATTTTAGTCCTTTAACCATCTTAGGGACTTAAACAAAAGGTGTTTAATGAAAAGTAATGGTCAAAGGACTAAAATCGAACGAATCGATAATATTAGAGATCATTTCCCTTTAATTTTTAAATTGGTGACCAATTAAACTGAAAATATAAGGGATTATCCGCATAATTTACCCTTTTATTTACTGCTTTTTACCGACAAAACTGAGGTAAAGAATAGAGAAAGGTTGAAGAAGAGACAGGTGGTCTGGTTTTTCCTCATGTGCAACAACTTAGTTGATTCCGGTCACCATCGAAATGTGTCAAAATTAAAGTTATTTTTTTAATTAAATTAAAAATAATATTATAAATTAATAGAATATATAACTATTAAAGACTAAATATTTAACTATATCAATTTTATTAATTACCATATCAATACTTCCATCAAATATTAACTTAAGTAGTTATATTAAAACTAATTAAATAGTTAAATGATCTGAAATAAATATATTTATATATTTTTTTAAATAAAGATATAAATTTAATTAAAAAATAATATATAAAGGATATTATTAAAATTCTCTCTACATATATATGGTAGAATTTAAAGACCTCAGCTCATTTATTTTGTAGGTAAAGAGTATAAAGAAAGTATAGGGTACATGATTTAGTTTATTGGAAGACTAGCCACGATCCTATTGATACTATAGGGTACATGATATAGTTTATTGGGTCAAAGTCATCATCAACCATAGCATAAACTGCAAATGATAAACAATAACCTACAACTACAATGGTGCCTTTCCAGAACTTATCATACATAAAAACAACACTTGAATTGCAGCAGCTGAGAAGTGAAATGGTAAAATCCAACATCCCACGATCGAAACACTGAATTTCGACACTTGATATGCGATACACATGAACGCCATTAAGATGAAAACGATCCCCGAGAGGAGAGAAAGAATTATTGATGCTGAAGAGGTTGGGACAATGAAAGTTATTGATTGGTGAAAGCATACAGCAAGAAACGCAAGTAGCACTTGCAGTGCTGTCCTGAAACCATAGGGAAAAGGTTTAAGCAGGGCTAGTGTTAGGAAAAAGGTTACGATGAACACGACATAGGTCGGAATATAGAAAAGAAGAAACTGGGAAGGGTCCATGACATATGTCCCCAGTTTCTTTGAGGCGTTTCCACCCTGCCAAACACCACCAGGTGGGCTAAGTGTGGCTTGGTACGTTGCAGTTAGAAGCAATCCTAAAATTACCAGTAATGCATTACGGTTCTCGCCTGATATATTATCCATATCACGGAAAATCAGTGACGATGCTTTGGTGGCATAACTGGCGGTTTGTTTCTCCAACTTAGGTATAAACTTTGAAACAACTGGAATAAAGCAACCACGCAAAACTGTAATGCTTTCTGTGTAACCATGTTGTTGGGCAACACCCAGTGCCGTCAAACCTGCTTGATCAGTGGCACGCTTATCAGCCTTGCAGTTTAATAGTAGTTTAAGCATCTGTTTAATTGATAGTTTGAGATATAAAAAAGCTACATTAGTCAAGTAATCATCTCTATAAAGTACAAAACAATCAATGTAGTATTAATTATTAACACTAAGGAGTCAAACCTGGGCCTCATTGCTGCTAGCAGCTATGTGCAGTGCAGTGTTGCCATTTTCATCCTTTCGATTCACCACTTCTAGATGATAGGCTGTCTTCGTAAGTGTCCTAAGTAGGACTTGGAGAGCATCTAGCCTTCTGTTTTCCACGGCTATATGCAAAGCAGTGTTATTTTGAGTTGTAACACCCGGATACTATCAGGGTTGATCATCTCCATTGTGAACCGCGTGCATCCTTCTTCTGCAGCTATATGTAATGGAGTGTCGATAAACTCCACCTCATCCAAGTGCCTCAACACATTCCCATTTCTCTGAATTAGTGAATACAAATCACTAGCATTTCCCATACGAGCAGCACTTTTCAAACTTTCATCCATATCTGGAGGTAGGATCAATTGAATATAGGAAGAGAGAAATTAAGGTTAATAAGAAAATGTTTCTATTGTACCATCACACATTTTTTAGTTAGTAAAAAGTAAATAAATATATCCTCAAATGTTTCAATCTTACACAAGATTGTCGTTATTTCTGTGTTAAAGCTTTGAATGGATTGTGTGGTTAAGGCAAAAAGATCAAAATTGGGATATAAAACATGTTCATCGTGCATGTACGTGTGCAAGCTCGTTCACTAGCAAGTGTAGAATGCGAAATGTCATATGACTTCAAAATTTGGGGCTCATACTTAAAAAATAATATGCAAACTTAGATTAAAAAATTTCCTTTGTAAGATTTAACCCAAAAAAATTCTAATTTTCTCTATTATTATCTCAACAATTTAATTATAATAAATTCTTTCTAAAAGATCATCAAATTTATGGTGTTTAACGAATAAAAAAATTCTTATTTATGTTCATTCTAATTTCAATCTTCTTAAATTTTGATATTTTATAATTTTATTTTATTATAATCTATTTTATAGATCTCATTTTAATAAAGTAGTACATGACGACATATTTTATGAGACGGATGTTTGCGTGTGGAGCCATGAAATTAATCCATTTGAAAAGTCTTTAACCAGCTTTTCACTCTTTAGCTAGACTTAAACATTGGCGATGACTTGAGCTTAGCCATTATCAACGAGTCAAGATAGTTGTTACATGAGGACATAAGAGAATCAATTTTATTTAGGTAAACTATGCAGATAGTCCCCTATGTTATTGGTTTGATTGACTTTGGTCATCAATTTGAAAATTAAGGGGGAATGGTCCCTATTGATCTGTTCGATTTAAGTCTCTAACATTATCGATCCGTTCGATTTTAGTCTCTCTGTCATTAACTCCATTTTGATTTTAGTCCCTTGGCCATGTAGGGACTTAGATCAAAGGGACTTAAACAAAAGGGGTTTAACGAAAATTAATGGTCGAAGGAATAAAATCGAACGAATAGATAATGTTAGAGATAATTTCCTTTTAATTTTTAAATTGGTGACAATCAAACTGAAAAATAGGGGACTATCCGTGTAGTTTACCCTTTTATTTGCTGCTTTTATCGACAAAACTGAGAAGGACCTCTGTTTTGAAAACCGGACCGGCCGGTTCAACCGGGAACCATTGCTTAGTCTGGTTCAATCTAAACCGGTTGAACCGCTACTAGTGAACCGGCCAGAACCGCTACTAGTGAACTGGCCAGAACCGCTGAATCGTTCGAACAGGACCGGCTGAAAACCGAAAAAAACCGGGAAAAATCGAGATTTAAAAAAAAAAAAATTAAACCAAACAACGTCGTTTGTTAAACGAGCCAAGTCGAACTCGAGTATTGCTGAGCTCGACTCGAACTTGAAAACTTTAAAAGTAAGTTCAACTCAACTCAAACTCACAAGCTAAAAATTATCAAGTTCAACTCAAACTCGAAATATAATATTGAAACTTGAACTCAAAAAAATTTAGAAGCTCGATTGAAGCTTAAAATTCGAGCTTGATTGAAGTGAAAGAATAGTTCACTCAATGTTCACCAAAAGGCTCCATGATTTTGAATGCCAAATTACCTCTATTATTTATAGAAGTTATTTGTGATGCTCATCTATGTTTCTTAGCAATGTGAGATTGTTTTGTTCTCATATTTTTACTCTTTAGACTTTTGGGAGGCTCTTCTATGTTTCTTAGCCATGTGGGATTATTTTTTTAAAAAAAATTAAACCAAACAATATCATTTTGTTATGATTTTTTTAACCCTAAATTTATTTTTTAATTATAATTATATAATTATACTTATTATTTAATATTTTTACCTTAAATATTATGTTGTAGTTAATTTGAATCATTTTGTTTCACTTGATTTTATGATTTTTAACTTATATATGTTATGACTTGCTTTGAATATGACTTGTGATATAAAAAAATATTTTTTATTAAATATTTTTGATATTTTTATTTAATTTTTTAAATAATTATGAAGTCGTCCAGTTCTTCCGACCGATCGGACCAGTTCGACCGATTAAATCAGTGAACCGATAGCATGACCGGTTCGATAATCGATCCGATTCTGAAAACCATGAGAATGATCAATCAATATGCGTGTGGACCTTAGAAACCCCACTGCAATCAATTTCTTTATTTCTAACCTCTTAATATGTGCTGTCACAGTCATGTGAATTTCAAGGAAACTGAGGTGAAGAATGGAGAAAGGTTGAAGAAGAGATACGTGGTCTGGTTTTCCCTCACGTGCAACAACTTCAGTTGAATCCCTCTTTATTGTATCTGAGTTCCAATATAAAATATTTTTATTTAGATTTGATAAAAAATAATAAAAAATTATATTTTATTAAAAATTATCACATCGACTTAATGAATTTGAATAAAAATATTTTTTATTGAAAATATTACCTCAACGTGCCTAGTTTCATAAACACTATAAAAAATATCTTAGATCCCAAAATAAACTCCTACTTATCATATTTTCCCAAATAATTTACTCGTATGTCCTATTGAGCTAAAAACCTCTAGCATCTACTTCATCAGTGGCCCATTTTACTTCAGGTATAAAGCTTTCGGGGTCACACCTCACCTCCTAATTAGTGAAAAAATTAATTGAATTAACTATTAAATTTAATTAAAAAATTCTCTAATAAGATAGTGACATATGTCATTATTGAAATGTATAAAAAATAATTGGTTGACATGTGACATTTCCTGATTAGATGATTTATTTTTTTGAATAAAATTTAAAATAAGACTAAATTAATAGAATGTGCAACTATTGAAGACTAAATATGTAATAATACTAATTTTATTAACTACCATGCCAACACTTCAATAAAATATTAACTTAAGTAGTTATATTAAAATCAATTAAGTAGTTAAATGATCTGAAATAAATATATTTATAAAACTTTTTAAATAAAGATATAAATTTAATTAAAAAATAATATATAAAGTATATTATTAAAATTCTCTCTACGTATATATGGTAGAATTTAAAGACCTCCGCTCATTTATTTTGTAGGTGAAGAATGGGGAAAGGTTGAAGAAGAGACAGCTGTCACAGTCCAGTCTCTTTCAGGGTCAATAAAAGGCACCAATATTAATGTTACTCTTATTTTCATGCCAGAATAAAAAAAGCCAACCCAAGCGCCCCTGTTGTTTTCTCTCTTTTGCTTCAATCACACAGTCAGTACTCTTTCATGGCTTTGCCCATAAAAAAAAGATGGAACTCTTTCATGGCTTCTTCTTCCTCTTCTCCTCCAATGAAGTATCAAGTTTTCTTGAGCTTTAGGGGTGAAGACACACGTCTTAACTTCACCTCTCATCTACACCAAGCTTTGAAGGGGAAGGGATTTGGTGTCTTCTTCGATGAAGAAGAGTTGGAAAGAGGGGAGCCTATATCACCAGCACTTTCTCGAGCAATTGAAGCATCGAGACTCTCCATCATCGTTTTGTCTAAAGACTATGCTTCTTCAAAATCATGCTTGGCTGAACTCTCCGATATCATGAACCGCAAGAAAACTCATGGTCAAATTGTCCTTCCCATCTTTTATCATGTTGATCCCTCTGACGTTCGGAATTTTGGTGGCAGTTTCAAAGCATCCTTTGTTGTCCATGAATCAGATAGGCCTCGTGAAGTGGAGCGATGGAAAGCTGCCTTTGCTGAAGCCGGTAAATTAAAAGGGTGGCATATCCAATTTGACAGGTAAACTATATTCTTACTCATCTTCTTTATTTGACTTTATCTTTGGTTTAACTTTTATTTTTCTTATTATCTGCCAGATCTGAATACCAGTACATTAATGATATCGTTAAATATGTATTAAAGAAGTTGATGAATAGTTATTCTGGAAGTGCTTCTGAAGAATTTATCGGAATAGATTATCAGAAAAAGAAGATTTTGGAGCTGATTAAGCAAAATCGAGTAATAGGACTCTGGGGCATGGGTGGTATAGGCAAAACCACCCTTGCTGATGTTGTTTATAAGGAAGTCTCTAACACGTTTGAAAGTTGTTACTTTCTTCAAAATGTTAGAGAGAAAATAGAAAAAAAAGGGAAGGAATCCGTGCGAAACGAATTTATTTCCATACTTTTAAAGGACAAAGAAATTCGTATAGACACCCCTTCCATAGGGTACCCTTACAGGGAGAGGCTGAACAATATACGAGTAATTGTTGTCCTCGATGACGTTAAAGACCCAGAACAAGTAGACTGGATGGGTGTTAAACATTTTGGTGATGGAAGTAAAATTATTCTAACGGCTAGAGATAGACAAGTGCTGAAGAATGGATGAGCTACCCAAATACATAAGGTGAAAGAGTTAAATAAGAAGTATTCTCTTCAACTTTTTTCTGTTACTGCATTTAAGCAGTTGAATCCTTCTGTTGATTTTCTACATCTATCCTACGAGTTTGTACGGTTAGCCCATGGCAGTCCACTTGCTCTTAAAGATTTTGGGTGCTAAGCTATATTCAAAGTCTATAGAAGAGTGGAAAAGTGAGGTGGAAAAAGTAAACAAGTTCGATGTGTTAGGAAATATAACGAGAACAAGTAATTTCCCTATAGCCAGATTAGTGAGAATACGAAATAAAATCGGAAAAATAATACCCGAAAAATTGATAACGGAGTTCAGCCAATTTTGCTTACGTCTCCGGACTGCTGCAGATCTTTTACTAAGAGAGAAATTTTACAGGTGTTTACAAAACACTCACTACTCACAAGAAAGCTCTCTAGTATTGGGAGAAAGAAATGATTTTTGGGATGATTTTGAAGCTAAATGAGCTAGGGTATTTATAGCTGAAGCTTAAGGACTAATATTGTAATTAACCCTATTATAAAAAATAAAAAATTACAGCAGCCCCCCCTTAGCAGCCCCCTTAGCAGCCCCCCCTTAGCAGCCCATGTGTTTTATTAATTTTCAACAATCTCCCACTTGAAGACTGATTTTAATCTGTCTTCACACCTCGATCAATGCAGCAGCATTTCTGGTCTTTTATTCTAGCATGCCAACTGAAGCTGAACACAACTTCAGTTTTTCTGTGGTCACCGTCTTTGTTAACATGTCTGCTGGATTTTGAGCTCCACTAATCTTTTCAAGTTTCAAAATCCCATCTTCCAGAAGAGACCGGATAAAATGATATCTCAATTGTATGTGCTTCGTCCTGGAATGAAAAGACGAATTCTTCGCTAGATGGATAGCACTTTGACTGTCGCAATACAAGACATTGTTTTCTTGTTTCTTGCCTAACTCTTCCAAGAAACTTTGGAGCCAGACCATTTCTTTGCTGGCTTCCGTAACAGCGACATATTCTGCTTCGGTTGTAGAGAGAGCAACTATCTTCTGTAGTTGAGAAACCCAACTCACTGCGGTTCCTCCTAGAGTATAGACATACCCTGTAGTGCTTCTTCTGATGTCAACATTTCCGGCTAAGTCAGCATCTACATAGCCTGTCAGTATCGTATCTCCACCTTTGAAACAAAGTGCTTTGTTTGTGGTACCTCGCAGATATCTGAGGATCCATTTGACTGCTTCCCAGTGTATTTTGCCTGGATTATTCATGTACCTGCTAACAACTCCCACTGCTTGAGCAATATCTGGTCTGGTACAAACCATGACATACATCAGACTTCCAATTGCTGAGGCATACGGCACCTTCACCATGTGTGCACGTTCTTCCTCCGTCTTTGGTGACTGTTCTTTGGAGAGTCTGAAATGAACACCTAAAGGTGTACTTACTGGTTTAGCATCTTGCATGTTGAACCTGGAGAGTACTTTGTTGATGTACTCAGCCTGTGATAACATCAAAGTCCCCGACTTTGTGTCTCTCTTGATCCTCATCCCAAGAATCTGCTTTGCAGTGCCCAGATCCTTCATAGCAAACTGCTTCGACAATTTTTGCTTCAAGTGTATAATCTCTTGCATGTCTGAGCCTGCAACGAGCATGTCATCAACGTACAATAATAAAATAATGAAGTTGTTGTTGAACCTCTTGATGTAGCAACAATGATCTGCTTGGCATCTGGTAAAACCACTGCTACCCATGAAACTATCGAACTTCTTGTACCACTGTCTAGGAGCTTGTTTTAAACCATACAAGCTCTTCTTCAACCTGCATACCAGGTTTTTCTTGCCTGCCTCTATGAAGCCTTCTGGCTGCCTCATATAGATTTCTTCCTCCAAATCACCATGAAGGAAAGCTGTCTTTACATCTAACTGCTCAAGATGTAAATTTTCTGCAGCTACAATTTTCAACACCAGTCTGATTGTAGACAGTTTCACGACTGGAGAGAAAATTTCATTGTAATCAATACCTTCTTTTTGCTGAAAGCCTTTGACAACCAATCTTGCTTTGTAACGTTTGCTCCCATCGTGCTCTTCTTTGATCCTGTAAATCCACTTGTTATGGAGCGCTCTCTTGCCTGGTGGTAATTCAGCTAATTCCCACGTCTGATTTGACATAAGCGAGTCCATCTCATCTTTCATGGAAGACTCCCACTTGACTGAATCCTCCACTTGCATTGCTTCATCATAGCACTCTGGTTCACCATTGTCAGTTAGCAACAAGTAGTGTAAAGAAGGTGAATACCGTTGGGTTGGTTTAGGAATTCTGGAGGAGCGTCTCAGTTCTGGTGTGCCTGGTTCTTCCTCTTGAACTGCTTCAGGACTGATCTGAACATCATTTTCAGAAATCTCCTCGAACTCAGCAAATTCCTTTGTTTCAGCCTCGGTATTACTTGATTCTGCGGTTGACCTGTCTTTGTACATCACATTTTCATTGAAAATGACGTCTCTGCTTCTGATGATCTTTCGATTTTCGTAGTCCCAAAACCGGTAACCGAACTCATCACCGCCATAACCAACAAAGGCACATTTGTTGGACTTAGCATCAAGTTTACTTCTTTCAGCAGAGTCTATGTGTACATAAGAAATACAACCAAACACTCTTAAGTATGAAAGGTTTATTTCTTTCTTGCTCCAAGCTTCCTCTGGTATTCCGCCATCCAAAGGAACAGAGGGCCCACGGTTGATCAGGTAAGCTGCAGTGTTGATAGCTTCAGCCCATAGAAATTTGGGCAATCCGGCATGTATCCTCATGCTTCTAGCACGTTCATTCAGAGTTCTGTTCATGCGCTCTGCTACGCCATTCTGCTGCGGTGTTATGGGAACTGTTTTCTCCATCTTAATCCCATTGTTTGCGCAGAAATCTCTGAATCTACTGTCTCTGTTCTCTCCTCCATTGTCTGACCTCAACCTCTTGACTTTCAAACCAGTCTCATTTTCCACCATGGCCTTCCATTTTCTGAAGGTATCAAAGACTTCTGATTTCTTCTTCAGAAAATAAACCCACACCTTCCTTGTTGAATCATCGATGAAGGTGACATAATATAGTGAGCCTGCAAGAGATGGAACTGGGGATGGTCCCCATACATCAGTATGAATCAATTCTAACCTTTCTGCCTTGGGTGCCTTGCCAATCTTTGCAAAACTGACTTTCTTTTGTTTGCCAAAGATGCAATCCTCGCATAGTCCGACATCCACATTCTTTAGATCCGGCAACTTCCCTTTTGACAGAAGTATCTTCATTCCTTTCTCGCTCATATGGCCAAGCCTTTGGTGCCATAGGTTTGATTTTCCATCAGCATCTGCTACTGCAATGATATTCTCTAAATTTGAGGTTACATAGAGAGTACCAGTCTTTTTACCACGAGCAATAACGAGTGCTCCTTTGGTAATCTTCCATTCACAACCTGAAAAGGTTGTGCTATATCCTTCTCCATCAAGCTGTCCAACAGAAATCAGATTTCTTTTGAGGCCAGGAATATGTCTCACTCCTGTCAGCTTCCAGGTGGTCTGGTTTGGCAGCTTTAGTCGGATATCTCCTTTTCCGACGATCTTCAAGGTTTCATCATCAGCAAGATGAACCTTCCCAAAATCACCACTGATATAGTTCTCCATGATTTCTTGGCATGGGGTGGAGTGGAAAGATGCCCCTGAATCCAAGATCCATGATTCAATCGGACTGTTGACGCTTAGAATCATGGCATCACCTGTCTCCTCTGTCACGTTGGCAGATTCCTGTGCACCGGTATCTTTCTTCAGTGCTCGGCAATCTCTTTTAAAGTGACCTTTCTTGCCACAATTATAACAGGTAAAATCTTTCTTTCCCGTTCTGGATTTTTCCCGTCTGGATTTGGATCTGCCACGATTTGAATTTCTTTCTGAAGTTCTCCCTCTGGACTCCGTGTGCAAGGCTGAGGAGGTTGATGCTTCACCCGATTCTCTCCGTCGAATTTCTTCGCTCAGTACCAGATCCCGAACATCATCGAATTTCAATTTACTATTTCCCGACGAGCTGCTAACTGCTGTAACAGTAGCATTCCAACTGTCTGGTAGAGATGATAAGAGAATTAAAGCTCGAACTTCATCATCGAATTCAATTTCTACAGAACTCAACTGGGTTGTGATTGTGTTGAGTTCATTCAGGTGTTGAGCCACTGATGCCCCTTCCGTCATCCGCAAATTGAATAATCGCCTCATCAAGTGAACTTGTTTGAGGCCGATGGCTTCTCATACATACTGGAGAGAGCTGCCATAAGACCTGCCGTGGTCTTTTCCTTTGCTATGTTGAAAGCAACATTTCGGGATAACGTCAGTCGGATAACTCCGAGGGCTTGTCTGTCGAGAAGAGCCCAATCTTCATCCTTCATGCCCTCTGGTTGCTTTCCTGAGAGGGGTTGATATAGATTTTTCTGGTACAGAAAATCTTCGATCTGCATCTTCCAAAAGCCAAAGTCCGCACCATCGAACTTTTCAATTTTCACCTTCCTTCGTCTGCAGCCATCGCTCCCACTCGAATCTGGCTTCGTTTGGATCGTTTCTGACAATTTCTGCGAACCGCCGTGTATTAGAACACCTCCGTCGACAAACTCGTATCGCCGACCGAATTCACTATTCACGAAATTCACTATTCACGTGAATAGTAATGAATAGTAACCTCGCAGAAAATTGACAAAATTCACAACCAAAAGCTCTGATACCAGTTGTTAGGAAATATAACGAGAACAAGTAATTTCCCTATAGCCAGATTAGTGAGAATACGAAATAAAATCGGAAAAATAATACCCGAAAAATTGATAACGGAGTTCAGCCAATTTTGCTTACGTCTCCGGACTGCTGCAGATCTTTTACTAAGAGAGAAATTTTACAGGTGTTTACAAAACACTCACTACTCACAAGAAAGCTCTCTAGTATTGGGAGAAAGAAATGATTTTTGGGATGATTTTGAAGCTAAATGAGCTAGGGTATTTATAGCTGAAGCTTAAGGACTAATATTGTAATTAACCCTATTATAAAAAATAAAAAATTACAGCAGCCCCCCCTTAGCAGCCCCCTTAGCAGCCCCCCTTAGCAGCCCATGTGTTTTATTAATTTTCAACACGATGAACCAAAAATTTCACACATTTTGAAGATTAGCTTTGATGGGCTGGATAAGTTACAGAAGGGTGTATTTCTGGACTTAGCATGCTTCTTTAAAGGGGAATCCAAGGAACAAGTAGAAAACGTTCTAAGTTGCGTGTATAGAGGTGCAGCGAGTGGACTAAGCAGCTTGCTCGACAAGTGTCTATTTGACATCAATTCTTATGGGCAGATTTCTATGCATGATATGCTTGAAGAAATGGGTAAAGATATTGTTGATCAAGAATCTAAATACCCTGAAAAGCGTAAAAGGCTATGGAATCCTGAAGACGTGTACCGAGTGCTCATCAATAATAAAGTAAAGAGTTATTTATATTTATATTTATTTTGCCCTTTCGTTTGATGTCCTATGGTTCAGTATCACACTATATATACACACACACGCACACACACTTGATATTATGTAAAATATAATAGGATCTTTTCTAGTGTTTGTTGGGTTAGTTACATATCTGCATGCCTTAGAAAGACAATAAAACAAACATTTTATATGTCCAATTAGCGTAAGCATTTCCTATATTGCATTTATTTACGATTTAACTAGAATGCATGTAATCTTTCTTATACTAATACTTTGGTAAATTGTTTTTTATATCAGGGAACTGACCGAATTGAAGGAATAAAGTTCGACATGTCTCATAGTGATATCCTAAAGTTACGTCCTACATGTTTTGAGAGCATGCCTAATCTTAGATATATCAAATTTGGTCGTATTGATATTGACAATGATATTGATATTGCATATCTTCCAAATGAGTTAAAGTGGCTTCAGTGGAAGTGTTACCCCTTCAAATCTTTATCACTAAATTTTAATCCAAAGAATCTGGTAGTGTTGAAATTATCAGGGCCCAATATGGAACAACTCTGGAATGAAGATTTTCAGGTATATGCTTTTATGTTGCCTTCATCTAGGAAAAAAATATGTATAATTAAGTATAAAAGGTTTTTAAAATAAATATATTCGACTTCTTTTAAAGAAGAAAATTTGTTTAGTGAATTCACGATCATCAAATCTAATATTTCTAATTATGTTGCGACTAAAGTAAATATGCTTACAAGTAATACAATTATTTATATGTTTTTGTACAGGATCTTGTTAATTTAAGGGAAATCGACGTTTCTTTTTGCGATAAGTTAAGGAAGATCCCTAATCTATTAGGAGCCATCAACCTCGAAATCCTTAACTGTAAGTTTTGTGAAAGTTTGGTCGAACTTCCTGAACTCCCAAAGATGTTGAATCGCTTAAATTTATCGTCCACTGGAATAAAAGAAGTTCCCTTTTCTTCAGACCTTTCAAATATTCTTCCAAATGAGTTGAGGTATCTTGAGTGGAACGGTTATCCCTTCAAATCTTTACCACTAAATTTTAATCCAAAGAATCTTGTAGTGTTGAATTTATCATGGGGCAATATGGAACAACTTTGGAATGAAGATTTTGAGGTATATGCTTTTATGCTTTCTTCATCTACAAGTAAATATGTTATGCGACTAAGGTAAATAGATAATGCTTACAAGTAATACAATTATTTTATATGTCGTTTGTACATGATCTTGTTAATTTAAGGAAAATCGACGTTTCTGCTTGCGTGAAGTTAAGGAAGATCCCTAATCTATTAGGAGCCATCAACCTCAAAAGACTTAACTGTGAGTTTTGTGATTAATTGCAAGAGCCTCAAATTACTCTCAGAGCTTCCATCAAACCTGAAGTACTTGGATACTCGACGTTGCATATCATTAGAAAGTGTATCCTTCACTGATCGAAATTTTCTTTCTTTTGATGGTGAAAGAAACTATGCAATGATATTCTCTAATTGCTTCAGCTTGAATCAAGATTCAGTTGATAACATCGAGGCAAATGCCATGCTTCAAATTCAATTCCTAGCGAAGAAATGGGCATCACGATATGATCATGAGTTCTCGATTGATCCCGAACCAAATTTGTTATATTGTTTTCCGGGAAACAAAATTTCAGCAGATAGATTTGAGTATCAGAGCAGGAATTCTTCATTAAGTTTTAAGATAGCCACAAGGGGGAGTAGTGGGAGAAGATTATTAGTTTTTGCTATATGTCTTGTGGTCCATCTCACTGACCATGTTTCCGTTCGAAATCTTCAATTTGTCTGTGAATATCAACTGTTAGCCGCCAGTGGTAATGATGGTGACGGTGGTTTTAAAAAGTTCAAAAGTGAATTGATTTTGGGGGGTATTGCTTGGGATTGCAGGGGTGACCATGTTTTCATTCTATGTGGGAAGGATATGGTTAAAGAAGACCAGGATTATGAGGAGGCATCGTTTCAATTGTACATTAACAATAAAAGAGAACATTTCAAGGCGAAGAAATGATGAGTTCATGTAATTTACGTGGATGCAGAGAGTTGCACCATCACTGATGTTAAGAGATGTGATAAATCCAACCTCTATTTTGATTCTCAAGGAGATGCTAATACTATGGAACCCCATCACCATTCAGCTACAGAAACAAGCACAAGGAGATCAAAGCGGCACAGGTTCGAGTGATTGGAACTTAGAAATACATTTGCTTCTCTTTCACATCTGATAACTGCACAAATAAATTATTAGTTAATCTCTTGTTATATCAGATGCAGAAACAACAAGAAGGGGATCAAACCGGCACAGGGACACAGGTGATTGGAAATCAGAAATACATTTGCTTCTCTATTACATCTGATAAATGCACAAATAAATTAGTATTAGTTAATCTCTTGTTATATCATTATACAGGGCATTGATCATGTTGTTGCTGGCACTAGCATCCATGTTGTTGGTCCTGGTGATGATCTGCGCAGTATATTTTTATTTTGGTTAAATTCTCGTCTGGCCCTTCTGATTTCGTAAGTTACTCAATTTAATCTTAATCACATGTATTAATTGATAGGTAACCTATTTAATTTTCTTTTTCCTACATTAGGTACAACATGTTTATATTATTATTATAGTTTTACTAACATATTTTTGTGTTTCAATGAATATAAAGGCGTGCATCACAAAGTTATTTTTGTGATTTAAAAAATCAAGGTATTGTTATCGTGTCACGTTAGCTAACGTGATAATGTCCTAACTCATTAGATATTATTTTGTTAATTATTCATGACACAGATATCATTCATAAACTTCTCATCATTTTTTAAGGGTAAACTACAACAGATATTAGTAAACTTTAAGCCTTGACTCATTATAACATCAAGTATTTAATGTTGTCAATTTTATACTAACATTTACTTTTAAGTACAATTATCAACACTAGCTACTCTCTTGAAAACCATTATCAACGCTGTCCTACAAGGTTCAACTTTGATGACAGCGATGTTGTTATTCTTGTTATATAACTTAATCGGTGCTATCCAACATATATATTAATTTTGTTAAGATTATAATAAATTCTTAAGTTAGTTTGGTGGTTGGGTGTTTAGTATTACTTCATAAAGGTTTTTAGTTTGAATCTATTTAAAAGTATAGTTTTTCATAAACAAAACGACATTGTTTTGGGCTTTTTAAGCATCAAAAAGTCACGTTAAAACAACGTTGTTTTAGTGAGGCAATCACATCAACAACGTCACGACACACAGCTGCCACGTTATCGTCCTGTTAAGTCATTAACGGTGAGATTGATTTCACAAGTATTGATGCAGTATTGGTTAACGGTGTTCACCATGAAGGAGATCAAATTGTGGTTTGTGGTTATGGTTTGCAGGTAAGCATTTAAGCTTCTCATTTCGCTGATTTTTTTTGGGATTAGTGGATGTTAAATTCTCAAGTATTTATTTCTTATTTCAGGGGTCTATTGTGACCAATATAAAAGCAACGTGTACACCTCACCCTATGAAGGAGATCCGAGTGAAAGTATGGTTTCCTCTCTCATATCTGTTTAAACTCTCTATCTGGATGGAGGTTATAGAAATATCTTGTATTGACATCCTATGTATTGCTCTTTATGGATGTTAATATGATTTGATGATGTCCTTCGTTTTCTCTTAATACGAATGGATATTACCACAAGGTAAGGCCAGGAAACAACTTTCATGGGGTTTTCTGGTTGGATGACTGTAGGGTCTAGGGAGCCGTATATGCATCACAAAGAGATAAAAGAGGCACAGGGTACGAAGACCGCTGCACAGGTGATTGAAACTTAGCAAAATATTGGCTTCTCTATTGCATCTGATACCTGCACAAATAAATTATTAGTTAATCTCCTGTTATGTCATTATGCAGGGCGTTGAACATGCCATTGCTGGCACTAGTACCTATGTCGTTGTTACTGATGAGGATGTGGAAGATCTCAAAGAAGCAATCAAGGATGATATGCAATCGTTCTACATGCAGGTATCTACCCTCGGCTGTTTGGAAGCATTGCTGTAATTTCCGAGAACTCCGCAAGTTAATCGTCCTGTTAGTGGTATACGCAATCAAGCAGGATGAGTCTCACTTGCTCTGCATTATAAATTGCTTGTCATTTACAAAGTAATGTACCATTTTGAGCAACTGGAAACTTTTGTGATACTTCTACATAAAATGGGAAATTTGTTCAATAACTTGTGATAGTTGGCTAATTTGAAGGTATTAAGCTTTGACTTGAAAATTTTGCTACTATGAAGCTTTTAACCTTTATAATTGATGCCCTTAATTTTTTAATCTCACATTTTATTTTTATAATTTAGGTCCTTAATTTAGCCATTTTCCTATGCTTTATTAATGTAACATTAGATTAATTGTTCAAAGTAATGCTATATACTTTCGTTCTATAAGGACCAATTTTTTAGTTTCATTCAGGATCCTGAAAATGTTCGAAATGACTCTGATAGTTCACTTATTTTTTATTATTGACGTGGCAACCTTTGACTTGAAAGGTTGCAAATCGTTTTTGGATTAAACCATATATTAAAAATTAAACTAATGCTTAATTTGTATAATAAAGAAGCGTATTTACCAAGTAAACTTGACAATGCTATAAAAAATGAAGCGTAGTTTACCATATAAACTTGACAATGCTCATACATTTATTATGATCCCATGTTGGCGTCATTATTTTTTATTTTTTTTATTGAATTCTTATTATGCATCTACTAAATTTGATCACCAAATCATATATTAAAAAAAAGAGAAAAAAACTAAAATTAAAGAAACATTATTTTGTGAGGGAAATCTATGAAAAAATCTCCTAACAATAAAGGAAGTGTATTTTCAGGGATTGTTCGTACAAAATGATGTATTTTTCTATTATAAAAATAATTATAATTTTTAATAATAAATAATCTTATTCTATAAAAATATATTTTGGTCTTTTTAATCTTTTGAATTGTGACATCTATTATTTTAGTTGCCTTTGAAATTACATTTTTAAATAAATTCGAATAAATAGAAGGATTGTAATTTAAATATGTTTTCAAGTTTGTAATTTTTAATCTTTAAACAACATATAATAGAGTACCAAAATTTGGGCGTTGTGGGGTGCTCACCCTTCCCCACATGTAATCGACTCCCGAAAACTGAAAATTCCAGCAGATACCTGAATGTACCCAGATTAATTGTTCACCGACCAGGGTTGTTCTTAGGGATGGTAATGGGTCGGGTCGGGTCGGGTTTTTGGGCCACCCGACCCGACCCGAGAAGAAAGGGTTCTCCACCCGTGACCCGACCCGACCCGAAAAAATTACTCACCCTTCCCCACATGTAATCGACTCCCGAAAACTGAAAATTCCAGCAGATACCTGAATGTACCCAGATTAATTGTTCACCGACCAGGGTTGTTCTTAGGGATGGTAATGGGTCGGGTCGGGTCGGGTTTTTGGGCCACCCGACCCGACCCGAGAAGAAAGGGTTCTCCACCCGACCCGACCCGACCCGAAAAAATTAATGTTTCACCCCCCGACCCGATCCGAATATATGACTTAGAACCCGACCCGACCCGACCCGAAATAAAAAAAAAAATTAATTCAATGAAAACAGTGACTTAATTGAAAAAAAATATATATGGAGGGATATTATTGTAATTATCCCTAAATATAAGATAAATAATATATATTTTTCGGGTCGGGTCGGGTCGATTTTTTTTACCCTAAACCCCCCACCCACCCGACCCGAACAGTGCATTTAAAAAAAAAACCCGACCCGACCCACCACGAACCCGAATTTTTTTAAAAAAATCCGACCCGCGGGTCGGGTCGGGTCGGAACCCGTCGGATTCGGGTTGAGTTGCCATCCCTAGTTGTTCTTGAACTGTTCCCATTAAGTTCACTGCAACAACACTCACTTAAATGCACTGAAACAATAAATTAACAAAATTAATTGATTAAAACAATGTAATCCTCTATGGCCTGTATATACTGAACTGTCATACACGTGGCAAATTGTCAAGTCCCTTTTTGTTTATAATTAGAATTAAAATAATAATTAATATAAGTCAAACAATTAAGTAAGCTACAAACATGCAATTGAACTCAAATTAAAGAATTATTAAAAAAAAACAATTATAATACAAATATTAAATAATAATCTCAGACGCCGACAAATCAGAAATGTCGGTTTTGTAGAGATTCTTTCGTAACTTAATTAACCGACTTTCAACTGTATAAGCTATCGTTATTATCGTAATATTATTAAAATTTTGATGAAAATCAGAAGAGACAGTTCGTGATTAGCTGAAAACAACTGAGATTCTTAGTATTTTTGCATGGAAATGTTTTGATTTTGTCGTAGAATCTTGAGGATGTTATTGAGATTGAACAGAGCTTATTCTAAGTCAAATTATTATTATTATTATTATTATTATTATTATTATTATTATTATTATTATATTCAACATAAAAGATTCAAATCAATTCTTTAAAAATATCATATATACACACCCTTGACATTTAATCGTGTATACATTATTATCCTTGTATGAACTCAAGTTGCTAGTTTCTTGTATAATAGTTGTAGAAAAACGTTCTAATTATGTGTTTAGTTTACGCTTATAATTGTAAATCTTTTCATTGAAATTTTGAATTTTGTTTAAATGATACTAGCTAATTCTATTTTTTTGTGTATATATATATGTATCATTTTAAATTTGAGTCATTTATATCAGATATCATCAAAAGAATATATATGAGTGAAATTTGAAAACTAAATGACAAATAAGAAGAGAATTGGGTTATGGGATTGGATGATGGAGGAGAGGCATGCAAATCTCGCATATGTGGGCTTTTCTTATGCATAAATCCAATATTTCTATTGCCTTTGATAGATTCCTGAGATTTGAAGTAAAAATATCATCCCCTTGGGGTATCTAATTATCTTTGTTTTATATGAAAACAAGAGAAATGGTTCAAAATATTTAGGAT